GTCCGCCTTGCCGTCAGAAACGCTCTTGACCCCACTCTACCATGTCCGCCATCTTGGGTTCAAAGTCATGATGTTGTTCCCACATTGACCTGCGCGTCGAATGTTAGGCTTGCTTCCTTCGCTGCAGCCTCCACGTCCGGGAAGAAGAGTGTTTCCTCGAGATGATGGTGGTGATGCACGCTGTCCGCCCACGCCGCGATGTATAGCATGAGATCGGAAACATCACTAGGAATGCCAACGAAGGGCGCTTGGTTGTAGAAGGCGTTGAGACCACGAATGAGGACATTGTGGGCGTTTGCCATTTCCGCGACTATGTGAAGGAGGCCAGGATTCTCGCATGTTTGAGCACCTGGTTGACCAGGAATCTTGAGAAGCGCGAAGGGAGTGTCTGCCCATTTGGTAGTGGTGGATCTATCGGAGCTCATGTTGGATGGCCGTACAGAAAAAATTCATCATAGGGCCATAGTCAACGCATCTTTAACTCACCAAGCCGAAATAAGGCCACCCAACGCAGTGTCTGGAGCGATTAGCGCTTACAGCCTCAGTTCAGACGTAAAGAAGTGGAGAAGAATACAGTAGATAAGGAGCACTCAACAAACCACCTGGACATTGTTACTGTAGTGTGGTCTGCCAAGATGGCAGCCTGGTGAGGGTGTAGCTGAGATGCGTCTAATCAGCAAGAACAAGTCGTGCATTAATGTAAGCAATATGCTGCTTACGAACGAGGACACTTGGCTCGTCTTAGAAGTTGCACGTTCCGTGTTTGGTGTTGCTGACTTTATGGTTGGATGTGTGCGTGTTTTACGGGTCAGCTCGGTTAGGATTGCGGAGAAGCCGACAGGAAGTAATACCTATGAATATGCATGCCATCAGCCATTACGGTGATTTGCGCAAGGATTGTCACACTACCAGGGCAGAGTTGCAGATTAGTACAAAAGTTCGTGCGTACTCCCATATGAATTCTAAAGCTAATTCGTGACGGAAAAGCGGTTGTGTTCATAGCCCCAATCGTCGCTACAGTCAGAAGGCCTCTCACATCAAAATCTCAGAATGTGCGATAAAATCCGATGAGACTAAGCTTGAAAGAACAGTTTTACAAATCAGGTGAGCAATAGGTTCTCGGTCTGCTATGCTACGGATGGGCACCGCGGCAATACATAGAGGGTAGAGAATCTTCGCGATACTCCAGTATTGTTGACAGAATTGCTGGAGGTCGTTCTTCACGGCGCCGTCGGTATGAGGGTCCATTTTATGGCAGCTTTCAGGGAACAGGCCGGTAGAGTTATGATGTTGGCACAATACCAATAAACAGGCGGCTTCGTTCAGAGTGCCTCCGAACGTTCTCACAGGTATTGTGTTGATGACGTGTGGTAGCTTAATGAAGGGTGAACTAGTGTCTTGGCAGACGGCATCATCGTCATTCGCCCTCTCCATCTCACGTCAGCGAGCACCTCTTTGTTTCATGACTGTCTTTGGAGTTGAAGCACCCCCAAATTTTGCCGATGATCCGGCCCCTTCCGTGGGGGAGATTATCAGGTCACATCGACTGCATCTCCTACGAACACAACAGTTGCGATGGCTGCCTATGTAGGTAGAGGTAGGGGTGGCATTGAGCGCAATCGCTGATTTAGTCTAAAGTCAACATAAGATTTATCGGAATCTATACACCGAAGCTATATAAGGAAATTCCCTAAGTTGCATGGCATATCAACACCAGGCACGGACGGCAGATCTGTCGATCGTAGGATGCTAGAACAATTACCCCACAAGCCAGCCACCCCTATTCACATCCAGATTCATGTAGTTCGCATTATCTTTAGCAAATGATTCAAGGACTCACAGTCATGCAGGAGAGAAATTTGTAGTCTTACGATACACCTGCCCTAGCACGTTCCTCATTTTTGGTTTTTCCCGCGCGGACGTCAAAGCACTTCCCTGGCACATGTACGAAAAAGGCAAATCTTAGTGACTGGTTATCTATCACAAAGAAACCTGTAACAATTCATCAATCATACGAGGTGTGGATCCGCTCGTAGTGTTCACATACCCTGTATGCTCCTGGACCTTGAGAAGTCTGTGCTGCGTTCCCGGCCCTATTGCAATTTCATAGTACGATCTACCGCGCGGCATCATAGAAAACGTGCTCACGCCCCTCAGAAGCTTCTTTTTTCGACCACCAGTCGCTTGTAATTTCACTCACGTCGCGGACTGGCTAGTGCACCCTTACTACCATATTCACTGTTCTCCCTTTTACGTGAATAAAACCCCACCACTTGACTACTTGTCGTTACTGCAAGTGGCTTTACAAACACGCCCCGCGTATCGAAGACACCCGTCAAGCATAATATCTCTTCAGTATATCGATAACTCAACAAATCGATTACGTTCAGTCCGCCAACATGTATATCAGCCTTTTCCTCAGTGCTCTCGCAGCAACTACCCTGGCAACACCCATCACACCACGACAGACAACCCAAACTGGCGCGAGCGATACATGGACACCTGCAGCAAACTCCAAGACTACTTGCGATACTACTTGCGACAAGTTCATCAGTTTCGCGCAGGGCTCTCAGCTTGAGGCCGCCGTGAACAACGCTTGCGCTGCTATGATGCCCGCCTGCGCCTACCAGGATCGTCTGCCTGAGGGCACTTTCTGCACGGCGACGATAGACTACAAGCTGGATGGCCCTAAGAACAGTACGCAACAAGCCAATGTGGTAGATTCAAGTGCTACGTCTATCGGGGACTGGGATGTCCAATGTAAGTCCATTTATCGAAGCACGGCTTGGTGCTCAGTCACTAATTCATATCATAGTCGAAGTGACCCCTGCTGCGCAACCAGCAAACTCACCTGGGGTTTTCTGGACAGTAGGAGACTGCTATGGCTACTTCGCTCATATGCTCCAAAAATCGACTCCAGATGGCTGCTTCAACGGTGTCGCTGCTAGCATTGGGAGCGTCAAGGTTGGTGGCGACAGCACGTTGGCTGGTACGGAGTTCAAGGTTGCAGTTACCCCTAAGACGAACTAAACTCGCAAGCCTTGTGAAGGCTTCACTTTGGCTCGTCACTTTGGAGGATGGAGGTGCGGTTTGGTGGATAGGACACCCGCGTACTACCGGTTATATGTAGTGATCTTCTATAATTAATCTGACTATCCAAATATGAACAACACTTGATCATTTGCGTATGTGCGTTACTTTTCTCTTGTTCTTCTCTGTGTCCTTTCCATCATCTCAGCTCTACTTCACAAACTGTGGTAGGACGCTCTTGGAGCCCTCACTCTGATAGCGATCGCTTTCTTGATGTCCTCTGAAGTCTACCGTATTACGATATATCCTACAGAACGAGTACTGGATTTTGGTAGACGGCGCGTCGCTGCTGTGTCAGCAGTGACTACAGGCAACTACGTCGCCACAGTGATACGATGACCATGTAGCTTACAGTTAGCATCTGCATCACAATAGGAAAAGTTCCGTATTTCCTACCTATCACCGAGATTAAGTTAATAGAACAGCCATGAGCAAAGTCGCATGCCCAGTTTCTCGCGATCATGATGCGACAACGATACACCCGAGTCGAGTATCACTAAGACCGCGTAGTTCTACAACACCGACTCGCCTGCACCGCATATCCACCATTAAACCAAATTGTTAGCGCCATCAGACCACGAAAGGCGACTGGATGCGCTTGAAGCCTCAATCGATGCTTCCGAGGTTGCCCACCTAGAGCTAACATGCCCGCGCATCTTCAACCTTCTTAGAGTCTCATGCAAGCTCAAGGCGCTGCGCTGTTTCACCAGGGACTGCCGAGATACATCTTCTGTAGGTTCCCGGATCGTTTACGCACAATACACAGCTATGGTTATTGTAGTTGGGGTATGGCTATGGTCGGTGTACATGATTTAGAAGCGACACTAAAGGCTATGATTAGGGTAGGGAATGAACTAATTCATTAAGTACTTGCGCGAGCTGTGTGGATGCGAAGAGTTGTGAAGTTCGCAACTGCTGTTCTTAGTGACGATCTTGATTGCTATCATACTGCTAAGCTTTGCTCGTGCTCGTTCTTAGATTTACCGTTTACCATTCCTACACAGGTTCTTCCGCAAACCTAAGTACTAATGTTGATTATGCATTACATTTGCTGATACTTCTTTGCTTGAGCCTGAGAAGTTTTCGGCAATCTTGCCACGCTTATTCGCACGTACTACCACGATATTCACTACAGGCATGAAAGGCCACGAAGAAGTTTAAACAACTAACCATGACGACATTTTTAGAGCACAGCAGAGCATTGAATGAATTGTTCATGTATTAACACTGTTTAACACAGTGTAGGATCTGATCTCGTAGTGAACCCAAACTATCCCGCTTAACAACCTTTTGCGCCGACCATGGGATATCATCCTGTAATTTTAAAAACCCAAGAACTCCGTGGAACGTCTGAGTAGGTACTACTCAAATAGCTGCCATACGTGATCTTCTCTACCAATCGTCCCATACACCCTCTTCTGTTTCTCCCATCTCGATGTCGATGCCATCTTCTCCATGGACCTTAACATCATCATTTCCATCGATCTTGGTGCCGAGGTTGGAGTTGTCGTGGGACGTGTTCTCAAGCTCGACGTATCTAGGCGACTTCCAAGGATTGGTACGATCCCAGATGACGGGAATGTAACGGTCGTCGTCCTTGAACTGATTCCATAGCCACAATGACGAACCTTCATGATCTGAGTCCGGATCATCGTTGGGGCACCAGCCTTCCCATACAAAACCATCTAGTGAATGATAGAACCGCAACAGTGGAGAAGGGAGTTTGGGGAACCATCCCTCACGTTCTTTCTGGATTATGCGTTCGATTTCTAGATCTTTATTCATGGGGTGGAAACGGACATGGGCGACGTTGAAGTCGATCACCTTGATGATAGCCTCCTTCGGCGCACCATCTTCTAAATCGCTCCGAAATCCGACAATGACGATGTTGCGGGGATGCATGTCTCCATGATTGACTCCTGCGTCGTATATGATACTATCGGCTTCCAGGGCTTTCTTCACAACACTAGTCCGCATTTGTTCGTTCAGCATCCGGGGATCAAGGTCTGTCATCGTGAACCCTCGCACATATTCGATCAAGAGGACTGGAACTTGGCGCGTATATTTGCAAAGCTGGTCTCCTTCGCGTTTCAAGGTATCGATATCTATCGTCCAGGTGCCGTAGAATGCGGGTATAAGCTCCTGAGCCGCGGGCGACTTTTGCAACTCCTGATAAGCGGCAGCCTCGTAGGAGTAGTCGCAATGTGCTTTGGTTACAACATCTTCTCCGAAAACACTGTCGTCACAACTATCGTAGAAGAGTGGATCGTATATCTTTGCGACCATGTCATCATTGACCACTACAACCTGTGCGCCTCGATTGCAGCTAGGGCGAATGACTGCGGTAATTTTCAAATATTTGGTGTCTTGAGGGTTCAGCGTTCCATTGATGGAGGAATTTGCGAGACAAAAGTTTTTTTTCGAGAGTCTCGCAATCCCCCGAAACTGGCGGACAGTCGGTGACATAGGCAAGGCCAAATGGCTGATGTGGCTCATGACGTGTGGCGATTGCAGTAAGACCGACGACATAGGGGTGCTTTCGAGCAAGGCTTAGATCAGTACCGTCTAGCTCCGGATATGCGACACCTGCTGATAAGGTTGTCGAGTTGTGTGCATTGTTGGGTTTGGTAGATTCCGGGTCGGCGCTGTGATCGCTGTCATCTGTTGTTACCGCCTTAGCGCGATGACATGTATCGGTTTCCGTAGCCATAGCTTCGCAACAGGACCAAAGTTGAGTTGTGTCGTTGTAAAGAATGGAAGAAGTTGAGCACTGCGGTAAGTAATTGCAGGGTAGCGCCAAGACACGCTAAGCTATTTCTGGCGTTCACGACGGCCTTCATTCACTGAGCTGCTATAACACATTAGTACGTACTCTAGTACTTAGTCACCAAATCGGCTCAATTATGAAGTGAGTGTTTATTTTGTAAATGTAGTGAATAATGTCTTGGTGCAAAGGCGTTCCTGAGTGAATACCTACCAAGGCACTTAGGTATAGACTCCGCAACAATCAATTCAATCCGGTCACTCTCCTAGACCCACTTACCTATCTAGGTAGGGCTTAAACTCCTATAGGTAACTACTAGGCTTAAAGCGGTAATCAATCAATCCAATCTGAACCTTCTAGGACCCACTTAATTGATTGTTGCGGACTGTGCTTAGGTATAGCATTGCAGCTGTAGTTTATGCCTCCCGAGGTCGTGATATGAGTAGGTACGTATAGCTTTCGAAGGTACCTAGTGAATTTGTTGCCTAAAGTTCTACACGAGAAGAATAGTTGAGCAATTATCCAGCTTTCGCCCGGTAGGGCTACCTAAAGTCATCAATGGGTGTTACCTAGGTGATTGTGCTTTCACTTTTATGACGCAATTGAACAACAGGACTGGAAACCTAGGTGAGCCCTCTGCGGCTTAAGCCCCCCCCCCCCCCCCCACTAGTACTTATACTCTCTTCCGAACCCTCTTCTCTCAACGCCAACACCCAAGTCGTCCAAGTCGTTCAACTCAACCCAAGTTCCTTCCTAGGTACCCAGGTTTTCCTTCGCTCAAACCTACTTTCTTTCAAGACGGAAGCTCAAGTCTACTCACACGAGCGGCTTGATCAAAGCGCAAAGGCCAGCAGCAATTGGATCGGCTCGATCACTGTACAATGAGTGCATCAACCCATCTTGAGTGCTTCAACCAGGACCTGCCTGGTCTCAAAAAGGGTGACGTGCGATACAGGAGTGTCGGTGCCTCCGGTACCACGACCAAGAATACCGTCTCACCTAAGAGATTCCATAACATGCTGGTCAAGGACCTCGAAAACTTAGCGGACGAGTATCTCCCCAAGTATAAGAACAGCCCAGAACTCCAGCGCCGAATCACGACAACCTTCCCATGCCTCCCGCTCGACAGCGAGAACGACGTCGTCTCCACTTCATGGACGTACCTAATACTGCCAATTATGGAGGTACTTAGAATGCAATTTCAAGACAACATCACCTTGAAGACCGAGGTAACGGATAAGACAAAAGTCAAGGTCGACAAGATTGTGGACGAACATGACCACCAGAAAGTAGTAGACACAGCGATACGGTACGACCTTGTCTTCCAGGGAACCACAACGTCCCCAACCAAGACTATTGCGGTGATTGAATACAAACGCCGAAGGATGCTTCGCTACACAGATTTCGGAGATGCTATACTGCCCTATAACGCTACAAACAAGCAATACACCGACATGAAGAACTCCCACAACCGCAAGGTGATGCTTGGATGGATGCTCAACGCGTTGAACGAAGCCAAGATACAGTAAACTGCAAAGCCTAGCAGGCCGCTGTATAAGACGGCGTTTCTGTCTTTGTGAGGGCCAATGTAGCCACAAGACTACGATGTTTGCATGTTTCATGGGTACGAGGGCAGGGTAGCTGCCAGAGCGGGCTATTGTATGGCGTTACATGGACAAATATACCCCGGGGGTTTTCAGGATTATTCAAAGGCCTTCACTATAAGGCGTACGTGGACTAGATGGAGGGAGTTCTCAGATACCTAATACACACATTTGCACACATACCTTGTAATTCCCTCTATTTTGTGATGCATGACTTGCTATTCTGTGTACGGGATATTAGCATTATAATTACCATGACTACTCATCACCTCAATATACTACATGTGAAACGTACGTATATACATCCCGGCTCCACCTCCAATTCTCATACACCCCGTCCTCGGAAAACGACCACATCGTCCTCTCCATCATCGTCACTCACACATCCCGTGAGCTCCTCCACCTCGACCAGCCTCGGACACTCCTCTCTATCTTCATCCCTAACAACCGGCACATACTCCTCCCTCTCCCTAAAACATTCCCAAAGCCATTCATTCGCCGCCCCGATATCATCCTCCACCCAGCCCTTAATCTCAAACTCCATCAGCTCATCCCAGAACCTGGTGATCGGTCCAACCATCCTCCCAGGCCACGTCTTGTGTATGGCGTTGAGATCCGTATCGCCACGGCGGCGCGCATTAATTTCAAGTATATTAGAAACGTTGAAGTCGATGATGACGACGCGCGGGTCAGGAGCGGTATAGATATCGGAGGGAGAGACTAGCATCACGTTGCGGGGTGACATGTCGCGATGGTGGACTCCGGCGTTGTACACAAAGGTCTCAGCTTCTAGTATCTTCTGCATAATGCGAGAGCGCGTTGCTTCGGGCAGTAGCTTAGGCTCTATACTACTCATCACTACACCAGGAACGTTTTCCATGAGTATAAGTCGTACGTGGCGCAGGTATGTCTTATCGCCAGTTATCGTTTGTACCTGTATCGTCCAGCTGCCGTAGTAGTCTGGGATGCAATTCCGCGCTTCAGACGATCGCTGCAGAGTTTCGTATGCGGCTGCTTCTCGCGAGTAGTCGCCGTCGGCTAGGACGATAACGTCGCGCTTATTGTCGTAGCAATCGAAGCCGTTGTCGTAGAGCGGATCATAAATTTTAGCTACCATAGTCTTATTTACTACTACAACTTGCGCGTTATATGTGTATCCGGTGCGGATAAGGTCCGTGATGGCGAGTGTGCAGTATTCCTTGAGCGTATGACCAGGCAGTGGCGACTGCGAGAGGCAGTAGTCAAGCTGCGGTAGCCAGAACTTGCCTGTCTTAAACGGCGGCCATGGACTGTCGTAGCCATGGCCAAAGGGCGCAGGGGGCTTGTGACGATATGCGGTGAACGCGGCGCCGACCGTGTAAGGGAGAGGAGGCTTGTCTTTGAGACTGCCATGGAGGTCCTGGGAATCATGTGATGAGACTTTCGTACGTCGAGACGAAGTGGTTGACATAGCGAAGTTGCGGAGTGGATAGTACTCTAGACCTTACAGGGCGGAAAGTTCTCGCCCAGATAATAGTGCGCCGATATATGCGCGGTCGCGCGCGGCGGTGATCTCATGGCGAAAGTGAGTCGGAAGGAACGAATTTGCAGAACGATCTCGAACACATTAGCTGTCGTCGTCTGACATCGTTTGTGAATGGTGAACTTCTAAGGGCTCGCTTCGGTGTGGTCGATTATACCACCACGCGGACATACAAAGGAGCGAACGAGGCCTGACTAAGAACCCTCATCCAACTATCGGGCGCTGCGAGACAGTAGCATCCAACTTTGGCACTCCACCGACGGGCAGCGCAACGGGCTGAACAGCGTGCTGAACAACAGGCTGCGAACCCATTTGCTGAACCGGCTGATAAGTCTGCGGCACCCATTGCTGCACTGGCTGGCCATGTCCAGGTTGCTGCATCCACTGTCCTCCCTGCGCTCCAACATAAGGCACCGACACCCCAGGAGTCTGCATCTCATACACACCCTGGAAACCCGCATACATGCCCCTCCCGCCTCCTACCCACTTCCATCCTCCCCTTCCTCTAACAACAACGGCCACACTCCCCAGAACCAACACCGCCGCACCCACCAACGCCAGCATCAGAAATCTCATAGCCTTCTGCATCCCACACGCCTGTCCCGCCCATCCCTCCTCCGGAAAGAACTCTTGAATACCACAAATCCACCCTTCTCTCGTATGCTCTTGACCCCCCATACCCACATCATCCAGACTCTCCCACTTCTTCTCACTCCCTTGCACAGAAGTACTATAAGCAAAAGCTGCCACGCCCGCCGCAACCAGCATGACATTCCCGACGCCCAAGACCCACACCCACGCCCTCTCGTGCCCAGCCGTATCCTGCACTCTTCTCAGCTGCCACATCCCCGCAGCACTCAGCGCACACACAAAATACGCCAGCGTACAAAAACCCAGTAAAGCGTAGATCGGGCCGTCGTTGACATCTAAGTGGGTGACGGTTGTCTCTTGGGATCCATGCTGGCCGGGAAGAAGGAGTTCAAACGCTCCATTACGCTGGTTGCGGGAGAGGTGCGAGTTGAATGCGTTTTTAGATGTGCGCTCTAGGAAGGTGATTGCGACAGTGATGGAGAAGAGAAGGGCGATGGGGAGGAAGAGGAGGAGGGTGCGTCTGGCGTTTAACATTTTGGGTCTATCTGGAGGTTGTTGGTGGGGGAAGAAGACGAGAGATCAATTCCGCGGGTGCGAGTATGTAGCTCCTTTTCTTTTTCTTCGGCTAGGACGCTGCGACGAGGTCTGGCTAGAAACATCGTGACTCGCTGGTCTTCCACATATTGAAAAGGGAGAGCTGGACGCCTGAAAAAGGCTCTTGCTTCACCGTCTGTCTGCACCACCCGATATCGTCGGCACACATCTAAAATTTCTTGGCACACGGCCGTCAATGCTGCACCATCGCCATTACAATTATTTAACATCTCTATACCTGTAAGCACAAATCCGCATGCAGTCTCATGCACAGAAAAGTCGCATGTCGTCTCCCCTTGCACGACGATCACCACGCTTCCTCGCTAAGCCTTGACCTCGGCATTAGTTAAAGTGGGGCCCCATTATCGCCTATTCGCAACGAAAACGGCGGCGGGCCCGCGTCCAGATACAGCCCGTTGACCCGGTTGATGCACAAGGTTTCAGGGTCTTGAACATGTACGATGTCAGAAATTCGTGTAAACGGGGAGAATGTAATAATACAAGAATGTAATAATACACGAATTACACGTCAAGCTGTACATATGAATGTTTGGTATAACGAATAAATTGGATAATTCTGCGCGACTGAGTCGGGAGAGGTGGTGTATGTACTTTTAAATGCTATAATACGATGTGATGCAATGTGCTTTTTGTCGCCCATGCGGCAATGTTCTAGTTCCCGGCCTAAACAGTGGCGATGTGATAAATAAAACAGAGTGAAAAAGAAAGAACGAACGAGGATTACAACGGTATAAAGCCATATCGTACAGCCTAGGTAAACTCCATGAAAATGCAACAACGCTCGCGCTTGTTTCTACTAACCGCAAAAAAGAAAAATCATTGGGGTGCGCCAATGGCTTGTAACCTGGCCAACTCAAAGTAGACACCCTTCTTCGCTACCAGGTCTTCGTGCGTACCCTGCTCTACAATCTTGCCTTGGTCGAACACGTAGATGACGTCGGCATGCTGAATCGTACTGAGGCGATGCGCAATAGCGACTGTGGTGCGGCCCTTGGAAGCAGAGTCTAGGGCGGCTTGTACGACACGCTCTGAGGTGGAATCGAGGGCTGATGTGGCTTCGTCGAGAAGGAGGACTTTGGGGTCGCGGAGGAGAGCGCGAGCGATGGCTATGCGTTGGCGCTGACCACCGGAAAGGAGAGCGCCCTTTGCACCGACGAGGGTGTTGAAACCGTCTGGCAATGAGGTGCTGAAACGAATTAGTTACGGTATAAACTAAAGGTCATCGTGTTAACTTACATGAACTCGTAAATGTTGGCGTTTTTGCATGCTTGAATGACAACGTCATCACCTAGGCCATCTTGATTGGCAAGGATGTTTTCGCGAATGGTACCGGTATAAAGCGTAGTTTCTTGGCTGACGATTGCCAATTGCGAGCGGTAGTCTTGCAGGTTGTAGTCCTTCAATTCAACGCCATCGACGAGGACGGAACCGCTGGTCGGGTCGTAGAAGCGCTCGAGCATTTGCATGACGGTCGACTTTCCGCTGCCAGAGGCACCAACCAGCGCAATGAACTGGCCAGGCTGAGCAGAGAGACTCACACCGCGTAGAACCCGGTGGTCGGGTCTTCCAGGGTATGAGAATCTGACACCCTGCAGTTCGATACGGCCATCCAAACGATCAACCTTCTTGCCCTCGGGCGACCAGTGGTCAATCTTGGGAACGCGGTTCATGAAAGACTTGAGTAGCTTGGCCGCATCTCTCGCCTCACCCATGTCGGGGGCGAAAGAAAAGATAGAACCAGCCGCCTGAGCACCGTTGATAATGCCCGAGTACACCACAAAGAATTGTAGGACGGTGTACTCCTGCTTGAACAACAGACGACCTCCATACCAAAAGACAAGGGCAAAGATGAACATGCTCAGGCCCTGAGATGTGGCGTACAGAACGGAAGACACATTTGTAAACTTGAAGTAGCCCTTCCCTTGATCCGCAAGCTTATCATGGTACTCGGAGAGAAGATGCTTCTCAAGAGAAAGTGAAGCCACAGTACGGATAGACGAGGCTGCTTCACAGGCAAAACTAGCCGAATCTGAGGTCTCCTTGGTTCGCTTCTCCATTCGAGTAAGAGCGTGATAGCGAAAGTATCCACATGCAATGACGAGTGGGATCGTTGCAGAGCAAACAAGAGCAAGTTTCCATCCGAAAGAGCAACCGACGATAAATGCGACGAGGACAGAGGAAGCAGCGCTGACAATCGTACCAAGGGTGGAACCACTGAGACCAGCAAGACGATTGGCTTCCGAAGAAAGGAAGTTGCTGAGAGCTCCTGAAGTGACGGTGTCGCCATCGAAAAACTCCATGTCTTGACGAAGCATCGCGCCAAAAGCGCGCTGTCGAACGCTGCCAACAAGCTTCGCGGATCCCTTGGAAAGTGTGATGCCCTGGATATAATAGAAGAAACCAATGAGCAGTCCTAGCATCAAGAACATCCAGCACCAAAAGCTGATTCCGAGCCCGCCGAGGGACGTTCCAGGCGACAAGAGAGAGTTGATAGAGTTGGCGAGGAAGATGGCTTGTATCGCAGGGTTGCATCCGGCGAAGAAGCTGGCTAACAATCCGATGGTCATACTCAACTGTTCACCACTATTCATCTCCCACGCAAACTTGATCAATTCCCATGTGCCGTACTCCTTCTCCTTTTCATCCTTTCTATTCAAAAATTCCGTAGGAGCAGATGTCGTGGTGCGCATCAGGGCGAGCTTCTCGACGTCTGTCTCGCCTATGGCTGGCTTCTCAGCAACTTCCAGGGAGGATTCTCTGTTGACGGGGTTGATCTTGGATGTTAGTTCCTGGGCCTGTACTAAGCTCGCATATACACCGTTGGTGTTGATGAGCTCCTGGTGAGTACCTTGCTCGACGATGCGGCCTAGGGCCATAACCACGATTTTGTCAGCCTTCTTGATAGTGGAGAGTCGATGGGCAATGACGATCGTAGTACGTCCTTGGGAGGCGCGGTCGAGGGCCTCCTGAACTGCGCTTTCGGCACGGGTGTCCAGGGCTGCGGTAGCCTCATCCAAGAGAAGAATTTTTGGATCCGAAACGATAGCGCGGGCAATCGCAACACGTTGTTTTTGGCCGCCAGATAGCAGACCACCTCTTTCTCCGACCTTGGTCTGGTATTTTTCTGGCAGGTCCATGATGAAGTCGTGAGCGTTGGCGATCTTGGCGGCTTTTTCAATGAGTTCCATCTTTTTCTCGTCCGAAACGTTGGCGTATTCGGTGTTGACCAAGCCATGTAGAATACTCTCGTAGATTGTTGTACTGAATAATACGGGTTCTTGGCTCACGATAGCCATATGCTGACGCAACCAACGCAGGTTCAAAGTCGTGATATCCCTGCCGTCGAGATGTATTTCGCCTTCCATGGGTAGATAGAATCGTTCCAGAAGTCCAACGATTGTCGACTTTCCAGATCCAGATGCACCAACGAGCGCAACCATCTTGCCGGACGGGACACTGAGGTTGAAGTCGGACAGCACTACAGTATCCGGACGAGAAGGATAGACGTGTTTGAGGTTTTTGAATTCGAGGTTGCCGACAAAGTCGTCAGGTACAATACCTGTCTCGGTTTCTGGGTCAATGGGCGAGTTTCTCTCAATCGTGTTGAAGACCTTGGTAGCTGCTGCAGTAGCTGCGCCGAAGGCTTGGATGTGGGGCAAGTTCTGTCCGATGGAGAATCCAGCAATCATGAGCGCCATAATCACAGTAAGAATGTTGGAAACACCAAGTTCGCCGGCGTCTAAGAATCTCTTTCCCTGCCAGAAAGCTAGTGCATACTGAAGATTGAGTACCCCCATCATGCCAGCAATCATCATAGAGAGCCAGAACTTGGCTTTGAAGTCAAACTGACTCGCGCGATCTACAAAAGCCTTGTACTTCTCCTCAAGCCTCTTCTGGGTTCCATATGCGGCGACATTGCGAGCAGAAGATAGCACTTCTTCAGCCAATGAAGCAGCAGTGGCGTATTCGTCAATCGAGAGCGTCTGCGCCTTTTTCATGAGCGTGCCGTTGACCCCCATCATCAGAATCAATGCCACGGTCGCAGCCAGCATGATCAAGGAGAGCTTCCAGGACCTGATGAAGCCAATTATCAGTGCAGAAACGAACATACTGACACCAGTTACAAATAGACCAATCTTCTGGCCAATTGCATCTTGGACCAAGTTCATGTCGGAACTGATGCGCGTAGTAATCTCGCCAGAGCCCAGGAAGTCGAAGAAAGCAATGTTCTGCCTGAAGATAGCGCGGAGGTAGAGCTCGCGGATTACTCGTGTGATTCGCTCTCCGGTGTATGAGAAACCAAGGATACTGACGTATGAAGTCACGAATGCTCCAATACCTGCGGCGGTCAGTTGTGCTTGTAGACATATTCGTCGGCGGTAATACCTAGGTAGATGAAGTACAGAGTGAACTTGTTAATTTGCTGTTCAAACTTGGCAGCAGCAGTGGCGTCGACTGAAAAGCTAGTGAAGCTTCCTGCGAAGTTACCATAGACGAGCTATACATAATTAGCCTGTTGGTATTGAGAGCAGAATATTGTGTCCAAAAAGGGCCAGATGCTCTGGTAGAAGGATAGTCGCATCTTCTTGGACAGCGATATCAAGAACATGCCACTTACCGTCATGAGCGGCATGACAGCTCCAGCAGCGATACTGGCAAACAAAGCCAGCACCATAATGAGCTTGTCCTTTGTGCTTGCATATCGGAATAGCGAAAAGTATCCGACAGTGAGGTTGGGTGCTGTTAATTGCCGATCGATGATGTCCTTCTCTTGATCACTGAGAGGAGACGTAGGGGGTCTGCTCTCCCTTTCGGATTGCGACTCATGTTTCTCGACAGCGGCAGAAATGGCCGTTCCCGTCGACGTAGCTGAGTCCTCGTTATCCATGCTCGTTATCCATGCTCGTGGTTTGAGCGTGTCTTGTCGTTCGAGAAGCACAACACGAGGAGGTAAGTGGTAGAGAAAAAGAGCAAGCCTGTAATTTCCTAAAGATTCTCATCTGCGCCACTCACGGGCCTGGAGATTAGAGATCCTTAAGCCAACAGATTAGGGCTCTACCCGAGCTGGGGACGAGAATCGGCTAGGCTTGAAGGGGTATAATGTGCGACTGAATAGTCTCGGCTCGATCGCCGTCGCTCCAAAAAGGGACGAGCGCGCGGACTTGTTTCGTCAAGCGGTCTGGACGACTATGGAATACGATGTATACGCTGAATGGCCAAGGTGATGACGAATGGATCACAATATTGGTATGAGCAGTGCTGTCTGACGGCAATTGAAGGTGTTACGATGCACTTCATATCTAACGTGGAAAAGTGTCTGCCTGCTTGCTGAAGTCGGGTGTAGCTAGCTCGGGGCATGTTTCCGAATTACGATGGAAGGCTGCAGAAGAAGGCGTTGTCGATAGTTACGACAGATCCGAGAAGGTGTGGAGCGAGAGGCGCTTGACTTCGGGGGAAGTTAACGCCCGACTGTCGGGGCTTTCAAGCCCCCGATGACAGCAGCGCTTGTGGGCACGCCGACGCAGACGCCTCGCCCCCCGCGCACTGCGCAACAAGCGCCTCAACAGCCTACTTCTTTTCGAGTACATGGACATCATCTCCTTACGACGCAGATAGCATGGTGATGGCAGTTGCTAAACTATGCTGGTACAATACCTTGTGCTTGTAGGATCAGCTTATGTTAGTATGATTGGCCAGCCTAAACTTACAGTGCTACGGGTCGGTGGCGTCGTTTACGTTGCAGGGGTCACGCGGTAACATCTTGCTCCGGTACTGACATGGTACTATGCGAAAATCGACGCTTCCATTAGCACTTCAACTGGGGGTATCCGGGGTTCGGAGATACCGTTGTATCTGTACCGCTTTTGGTCCGCAATCGTGCTGCCAACGAAGATGCTCACAATGTCGCTATAGTTGCCTTCAACAGAAATCACACGCACGAGATTGTGCTTAGATTCACACTTATTTCTGAGTCTCTCCTGTGATGCGTCCGCTAGTTGCACTTCTGCTATAATTAAAACTCCGGGGAAAGTTTTGACATGTTCTTCAAGCCACGTGCTAGATGTCTACGAAGCGGGTCGTACAAGGCGTCCCTAGGTCCCTCGGGTTCGCATTCGAGTTTGGCTTAAGCCCACGTTACTACCAGACAGCCACACGTAGATCCCACTGTCTCGCTGTTGCCTTGGGAAAAAAGAGAAAAAAACGGCTCGTGCTTTAGTAAATCACCAACGCTAGAACATCCCGACGTGTGCATCTTTCCGCCACGTCATCTCATCGTCGTCTAAGATTGCCGAGAACTGTCTAGATAACTGTACCAAGACATTAGCTTAACTACAAAGACTACAGTACCTTTTGTAGATTTCTACAGACTACACACGAGCAAGATCACGATGATTCAACAGCTGGGTCTTGCGCCGCGCCTATCGTTACTTTTGACCACTTTTCTTTCAAGAACTTCCGGTACAAAGGATGGGATTTCATGGCCTTAGCGCCTTCCTGTTTGGCTATCTCAAATCCTTTCTCCCTTTTATCTGGCACAGTTATGGAATATGTTCAGCACAAGCTTTGAGTAACAAGGCTTTATGGACGGTGGACTCGCATTAAGAAGATGAGTTATAACTCGCATACGGCAAAATACGGCGCAGATGCAACGCATTGACTTCTTTAAAATGAGTATGCATCATCTGGTTCCGAAGGTGGGCGGGTGGTCCCGAGAACAACAGAGAAGCATTTAGAGAAGAACATGTGTGGGCCATGCTAGATGTTCTTTCAGATAGACTACCGATGCGCTTGTTTCATGTAGATGTGGCGGGACAAATTTCGTACTTTTGTGTCGCTTTTGGTTGAAGCCGGTACACCGGATCCATAAAACCAGGCCCAAAATATACAGAGGTAGGCGAGTATATGGCGCTAGAGCATACCGTATACAGAGAAGGCTACGCGTGGAATGCAACAAGACATCCCGCAGCACCGAAGAGCGTGAGGAAGACCGAAGAATAACATGCGCGGTTCGTATATACCATCTATACTGACCCAAAAAGAATAGCTGTGCTCATGACACCCAACAAAAGCTGCTGGATACAACTATGCGTACCTTGAATTGTGCATCAGTGGATCTGAGGGAAATCAAGTAGCGTTAGTGATGGGTTGAAGTAGAAATGGATGCGTCGTGTGGTTCCATGATCAAGTACCACCCGGTGACAGCTGAGTGCTACTGCGTTCGACATGACCGTTGTCCGGCACTGGCAAACTTAAACAGACGTCTTTGAGCAAATTGAAAAGGCAGAAAGACGATACATGCATACCCAATCGCAAGCCAGCGGCATTCGAGCGAAGTCCGTATCGTCTATGAGTTTGTTGGAGATATCCACAGGAAACACGGCCACAATGACGAGGACGTCCTGGTTGCGGTGATCCTATTGTTAGTTGTCTAGCGTTGATTATATATCGACAGCAGAACATCTCGCCGGATAGTCAACACGACCCAATGCGAGGCAGCACATACTACCGTTTCGATTGCTCTATTGACTTCAAGGCAACAACACTGCCATTGTGGTGAACATGCTCCTTCTATGAACAGATAGTAGCTGAATCCAAAAACATCCTACATTCTTTAGCATAACTAAAGCTCCCATTATTCTTCCAGCACAATGCAAGAAGAACCAGGGCAGTATATAGTCCGCGGATCGTCGATGTCGATGGGATCAATTTTTCGTCCGTAGACAAAGTGGCGGAGTCAGCCTGGTACTGATGACTGATGACTACCTCCAGTCGACCCTGTTTTATCGTCGCAGTAATCTTGTACAATTGCCTCGGATAGACTCACAAATTAGCAACGATCCTGATTACGCGAAGGGCTGCAATTAGGCGTGAAGTATCCGGTCGTATGGGTGAGCTCGCACAGGAGCATAGCATTACTAAGACTGACACCAGGAAACTGGGCCAGCATGCAGGTGTCATGGTGTTTGAGCCTGGAACTGGGAAAGGGTCCAAATATGCCGCCAGTCGGAGTTAGGACGGAATGCTATCGTCTTATGATTATGTGTAGGTCTATCGTGGTTCGTCAAGTTTGGCCAGCTCAACAGGAAATTGCTCGCAATAAGCACTCAAGTCAGCTTAGGTCCAGAACAATCGGAATGTCGTGGCATCGGTTGTGAGTATAATGCCTTAATTACCGTGATGTCAGGCGTTACCAGGATGCAAGCCAGCTCAGCTGTGGGTCGGTTAATAGGACATCACGTGTGGTCGTACGACTTAGCCCTATTTCCGGAAAAGTAGAAACCGGTATGCACAAGATATGCCCAAGCCGTTGGTTCGGTAGATCTGACATAAGCGCCTGGGGAGGGGGGAGTACGACATGCATGCAGGACCAAAACCGGGAGGTATTGCTGGTGCCTAACGGTGTCATCTATTTCCTTTTGATACGATAGCGGTGTCCCGATCGGGAGGCGATCGCCTGCAGAATTGATCGATTGACGAAAATCGATGGGGACCAGTCAGAGCAAAACTACGGTTCGGCCGTGAACCCATGGAGCTTATTCGAGACAGCTCTATGCCATAGGTGCGATCTGGTGTTGTGAGCCGACTCCACCAATGGCACGTGTCTAATACAGTATGTTGCTGATAGGGTGTTGCAAATGTCTAGTTCGTGCTCGGGCTGTGAGTCTAGCGCCTTAGGCATGCTGATCTATGAAATTCTATTTGATGTGTTGGACAAGTATAGAGAATTATTGCTTCTGATCATGCCAGACGCCGATAGTCTATGGGTTGTTTTGGGGCGGACCTGTAGAGGGGGTATCCAATTTCGGTGGATTGGTGTCAATTTGAATGGTAACCTAGCCAAAAAAGATTAGCGTTGAGCTATTTCGATACATGGGAAATACATCACTAAATATGTACGCCGCTGTTTAAACGGGCGTTATTTATACTTACTGGGCCGTCGTTGACCAGAGCAACGTCCATCATTGCAGCAAATACGCCGTCCTTGACCTTGTCGGAATCGTAGAGGTTCCCAACCTTCTTGTAGAAGGTTTCGTAAAGTGTCCTGGCTTGATCACCGCTTGCGGATTTGTGAAAGGAGGGCTTGCTTCCCTTCTCCATAGAGGCAAGTAACGTGAACTGAGATACTATAATTGGTGAGTTCACGCTTGCCCATGGATTTCTCAACAGTCCATCTGTGCATCACTCAGTGCAACTACATACCACATAGAATTTCGCCTTGTATATCTGCCACGGCGCATTTCCACTGCACAGGTAAGCACCGTGAATATGAACAACGAGTGAGAATCATACACGGCCAGGAGGGTCTTTGGAATCGTCATCCCATAGTTTGGCCTTGAGGATCTTGCCAGCCATGGCCTCTACATCCTTCTCCGTGTCGTCTTTGGAGACGGCGGCAAGGACCAGCAAGCCCCTGCCAATCGAGGATATCAGCTGGCCGTCTACTGTGACTGAGGCCGACTTGACCCTCTGCAGCACGGCTGGAAATTGTTAGTGGTGGTCATGTCAACAGCATTTGCATGTGCATTGGTAGAGCAGAGGGGCCGTACTCCTCATGATGGCGGGGTAGCTGCAGTGCGTGCTTGGATGACGAGGAAGGTGCAGCCGGAAGCTTCTGGCGAAACACCGACTTCCTCAGGCAGGACTAGGTTTGTGTGTAGAAGCACTGGGGGTTCCAAAGGCGCGACGACGTCACACATGGGAATCCTCTCATCCGACGAGGGTGAGACAGGCCAACAGACAGTGCAACGCGTATTTGAAACAGCGACGCGTGGGGCAGTAAATGGGCCATGGATTGTGGATTGCGAACCTTTAGTGGCCGCACTCTTGGCAATTACGCTAGGCCAGGCCTGTGATTCGCGTTCCCTATGCGATCCCTCAACCTCCGTAACCAGGCCACAACAAACATTCCTACAACCTCACCGGTGCCCGCCCGCACACACACGCTCACTTACCCCGAACCGCCGGATCGCTGCTACCGGAATCCATCGCCCCCACATTGCCGTAACCCTCGCCAAGGTCCTCACGACGAGGCTCCACCATCACCATGGCGGCACGGAAACTCCAGCAAGAGATTGACAAATGCTTCAAGAAGGTCGCCGAGGGCGTCGCAACCTTTGAGAGCATATACGAGAAAATTATGCAGACGGGCAATCCGTCGCAAAAGGAGAAGCTGGAGGACCAGCTGAAGAAGGAGATCAAGAAGTTGCAGCGATCGCGCGACCAGATCAAGACATGGGCCGCCATGTCGGAGATCAAAGACAAGAAGCCGCTGCTCGACCACCGCAAGCTGATTGAGACTGTATGATGTCAATCCCGTCTTGTCATAGTGGTACACTGACATGTGACAGCAAATGGAGCGCTTCAAGGCTGTCGAAAAGGAGATGAAGACCAAGGCCTACTCCAAGGAAGGCCTGCAATTAGCGTCCAAGATCGACCCCAAGGATAAGGAGAAGATGGAGATGGTCGAGTTCCTGCAACACATGAACGAGGAGCTGGAGCGGCAAATAGAAACCATCGAGGCGGAGATCGAGACGCTGCAGGCAAACGTCAAGAAATCAAAGAAGGGCGACAACTCAAAGGCGGAGCGGGTGACGGAACTAGAAGAGTCGGTCGAGCGAAATAAATGGCACCAAGGGAAGCTGGATCTGCTGCAAAGGGCGCTGGAGAATGGAAATGTCGAAACGGACCAGGTCAAGGAGATCGAAGAGAGCATCAAATACTACGTGGAGAGCAACCAAGACGCCGAGTTCATGGACGACGACACAATATACGACGACTTCAACCTGCAAGAGGAGGAGGCCATCTTTGGCTTGGGCGAGAGTCTCGATCACGTCTCGTCACACGAATCGCAGTCGATAGCGGACGACACCCCGGAGACGGAAGCGCGGCCACCACCGCCGAAACCAAAGGCAACAGAGGCAGTGCAGCAGGGAGCACGACGGCCATCGACACAGATGAAATCGCCATTACCTGCACTAGCGACATTACACACGCCCCTGCCGGGAGCATCGAGTACCACAGCAAACGCCATGAAGCCCGCGCCATTACCCACACGTACGCCCGGCGAGCCACTGAAGTACGCCTCGGCCGCCGCTGCTGCTGCTGCAAGCGATAAGAATGGAGTGGGCATTGCTCCGTTGCCCCCACCGCCGGGAGCGGCCGCAGCACAATCTGGTCTGGCTCCAGGCGCCCCACGGACAAGTGCAACTACCTCGCCTGCAACAACGCATTCCCAGCCAGCCTCGCGTATACAGCCGGCAGAATCAGCACAGGCCTCACCAGCACCTGCGGCAAGTATACCCGCGACGCCTGCGCACGACAAGGAATCGCTTTCGCGAGCCGTCTCGTCTGAAGATGCCTCAAAGTCCAGCAGAAGGACTCCGGCCCCTGAGCCAGTAGAGGAGGAAGGATTGCAAGTTGCTACGCCGCCCTTAACGAATGGCGAGTCACATGCCGAAGACGAAGAAGAGGAGTCAGTCTACCACCTCCCTTCCAGCTTACAGGATTTGCTGGATTCATTCGAGGCCACCAAGAACGACATGTCTGCATCTGCATCGAAGCCTCCAAACGAGCACATGCTCGCAGCGTCCATGACTACTGCTCCAGACTCTGCAGATACCGAGGCGCCCCGCCACTACCGCCCCCAGAATCCGTACCCGTTTACGCCTGCCCACTACCCGCAAGAACCGTTGCCAATCTTCGATGATCCCCGCTTGTACTCTCGCATCGATACTGATGCTCTCTTTTATGCATTTTACTACCGTCAGGGAACGTATCAGCAATATCTGGCAGCAAAAGCATTGAAGTCGCAAAGCTGGAGATTCCATAAGCAGTACCAAACATGGTTCCAGCGCCATGAAGAGCCAAAGGCGATAACCGAGGACTATGAGCAAGGGACATACAGGTTCTTTGACTATGAAAGCACGTGGTAAGCACTGACTTTCCTTTATCGGTCTTGCACGTGGGGCTGCCGTTTCGCTAGCGCCACATGATGCTATTTCTGCACGTCATACAAGGCTAACCTTATTCTAGGATGAACCGTAGGAAAGCAGACTTTCGCTTTGCGTACAAATTCCTGGAAGACGAGCTATGAGCGGTCGGTTACTTTCGTATTGCTATACTCCATGCTAGATGTGGGAGTTGCATTGTATCAAGTATTAGGTAGTCCAGGAATGGGTCCCATTATTTTGGGCAGATATAATGTCCCTCTTTGAACTTTCACCCCGTTCGTGGGGACGAATGCTTTCTTAAGTCCGTGGCAGGCACCAAACTGACGTATGCGTATAGTAATTTACCGTGAGACGCTTATGCATGATCGAAAGCACATCTTGAGGCTCATCTGCCAAGGAGATTTCCTCCGCCACTGCAGTTGGTCAGCCAGGGGTAGTTAGCGGTCTGAGCGCCGGGCGTAATCTGACATTATGTGGCTAAGGCTGCGGGATGTGCTCAATTGGCCGGAATTAGGGTCCACTGCCTTTTGCCCCCAATCGCGTATAGCTACAGGGCTGCAGCAACAGCTAGGTCCTCTCCCACTGGCCGTCTTAGCGAACATCCTTCCGCGATGTTCAAGCTTCAGTTACGCCCCGTTACGCCCGACAGCACTAAGTCGTGCATGACCATTAGTTGAGCGGTTACAGCATCAATCATTTGCGACCTTCTAAGACCTCGGTCAGAATTCACCGGGTTGCAGGTTATATGACCCACATGAAGCAGCAGAGTAGACTCTGAAAGGACGCAAATTGGGCGTTTGATGACCGCTAACCTGTCTTTAGACGGACAACCAAGAAATCCAGTCCACCCAACTGCTCCATTTGGATGGTGTTGGCAGCTCGTTTATGCTGTACAGGTCTACGAGCATTCTGACCCGACTCCAACAACTGACCGGTCGCCATGGCGCAGGTTCTGAGCGCGCCTGAAATGCATCAAGTCACGAAAGAAGATCAATTCGGATACTCCACGTCTATGACTAGGCTCCTGCCCATCCCCTGCGGCTAAACAGGGATTCATGCCCACACCGCGGAGCGAAGGTACGCGAACAAGAGCTACGCATGCACATCAGGTCACACGGCGGCCCATTGGCCTTCCCGCAGTTGTGGTCATCGGTGAAGTATGCCCATGTTATACCCTGGAGCACAAACATCCGATTATGAACCGCGTCGGCGTTAGACTATTCTAGCTTTCTGCCTTGCCAAGCCATGGTCGAAAGCAAATGAGATGGCATTCAATTAAGGTTCGACTGAGGTCTAGTAGTCCCCCTGCATGTCATAAGACGGAAGGAGCGGTTGGTAGATCTATCAACGGCTATCACTCCCTCGCCACCACGTTTGCCTGTGCTTCCACTTTAGGTCGAGCATTTTCACCGCTCTCATTCTCACGATAGAAAATCTTACCGCTGGGTGTCTTTGATCTTTGACCGTGCCCGAACTCACTCGACCTCAAATTTCCGGTGTGGACAACGCATACACACCGACACTAAACGTCAGCCCTATACCAATATACGTTGTGGGGTACCACGGCAGTGGTAAACCGCGACTTCGCCTCGCCCACCCCACGACTAGTCCCACCTCAGCAACCCATCTTAGGTTCTATATTCATTCACTCTGGCCTCTGGCTTGGTTCCTTTGCACAAGGGAGATATCAGAGCTTACGAAAGAGACGGGCCTACGTTGGTCAAGCCCTGCCACTTGCCGACCGAATCCTGAGACCGCTTCCGATCTTCGCCTCACAACGTTCTACTTTTGTTTTCGTCATCACTATGCTGGCACATCACGGCCTGCACGGGGATGGCTTCGGGCGTTCTGAGGGGGGGTTCCCTCCCAAGTACCTGTAAGTCGATGCAAATCTCTCGGTGGCCTCGTGTATAAGCCCTGGGGTGGCAGTGTGGCCGGACTATTACAGTTGTGAAGATGAAGACCGAGAAGCTTCCTCTTCCTGCATATAAGGGTCAAGAAGCATGCTGTCTGGTGGGAAGCATTAAACAATCCAACCATCTAACACTGGCTTCATAGATCCCTTGAGCAGATACAACTGCTGCCTCGAAGACATTCTACTGCTTCTTCAAAGAGAGCAAGTAGGTCTCACAAGCTGCGCATCCTCACTTCGCCCGTGGCGCCCGCCTATTGCCCTTCTACTACTGTTGCCCCTACTCCACGCCCCAAGAAGACCAAGTCGATACGCCCAAAGCTAGAGCAACCGCCTTCGCCTGCCATGTCCGGATACAGCGTTAGTCCCTCGTGGTTCCCTCTACCCCCTTTTGCTGATAACGATACATAGTACTCGTCCTCTGACCAGGGCAACTACGGGTACCAAACGCCCTACCAAACAGGAGTGCCTCAATACACACAATCTCAAATCAACGCGTACTACGCTCAGTACCAGTGTTACCCTGCACAGCCATACCAGATTGTTCCAGACTACTACGTCCAACCCACCATTCAGCAGCCTGAATATGCACAACCCGTTGGTGCATATGATACAGGGAGTTGGCAGACACAAGATATTCCTACATCTCAGGGTCCTACAAGGTATATAATGCTCTCTTCTATTCTTCAAACATCTACTAACAAACCATCAAGATCCACAAGCCGCACAAAGTAAACACCCCTCCTCTCCTTCCATCCCCACAAACTAACCTTTCCCCTCTCCCAAACAGAACATGGACCTGCGACATTCATGGCTGTACCTCGTCAGCAAACTTCACCCGTCTTGCAGACCTCCAGCGCCACCAATCCACCGTCCACGGCATGGGCACCCCAGAGTTCCCCTGCAGCATGCCCCGCTGCAACCGCGTCGGCGACAAGGGCTTCACACGCAGAGACCATCTAGTCGAGCACCTGCGCAACTTTCACCACATCGATATTCCGAAAAGGCGGCCCGGCGAGCGCTCGGCCTTTCCGTTTGGCTGGCCCGAAGGCGGTGGGGGCGTGGGCGGCGGTGCTCAGTGAGTTTCTCTTATTTGTTTCTTTGAGTGCGGGGTGGGGTACATGGGGTAGAGGAAAAGAGACGGGCTGGGCTGATTTGTTTTTTTTCTGCGGTATGTAGATTTGCTAGTACGGCGGCAGCGGCGGCGGCAGCGCCTGAGGGTGAGGAAGAGATGGCCGGTCATGGTGGTGGTGCAGCAGCTAGTCAGAGTGTACGAGGTCTCAGAAGTTTTCAAGGGCAGCACAGTCACATCAGCAGAAGCAGGAGCAGTCAGAATTTACGAGGTTACACTGCCTCCGAACCCGGGGCAGCACAACGACGAGTGCATGGCGGTCACATAGCCAAACCGCAGTCGAGAAGAGGACGAGCGGGAAGCAGAAGCAGGGGTGGAAGCCGCAGCACGACAGGGATGACTCGGTTAATCGCATCCTCAGCATCATCATTGTTGGAAGAGCTAGGTTACGATTTCCATCTGGCTTTGGGTTTCAACAACGGTGGTGGTGGAGGTGGCGGTGATGGTGGCTTGCATCCAACACTCGCTCTTTCACACCAACAGCAACAACAACATCAACTTCAACTTCAACGTCTACAACATCCACTAGACCCAACCCATATGGAGCAAGCTCTTTTCGCCACAAGCGCAAGCACGAGACAACCGCTCAGCCGAGGCGGCGGAGACTTCGATAGCCCAGCCCCGGAGCCGGCAGACGCAGCAGACGTATCATAAGCGGTGAGGTGTGCTGCGCATTGGGGCTCGCTTAGAAGGGGGGATGGTAAGGGGGGGGGCCGCTGCGCATTTCTCTTTTTGTTTTGGACTGCGATTCGCACCTTGGCCTGCTGGCCATATCTCATCATCTTACTTTGTTGCTGTTCTCTGCATGGGCCTTGCGTGGCGTTGGTTACACACAGGATCGGGCTTAGGATGGCTGGCCTGACGGATTGGGCGCTTGGAGTTGGCGTGTGTCTTGCTTTCTTTGCATTCCCATTCGCTTTTGTTTCTGGCTTGCAATCTGGAATTTGCCGTTAGCAGCAATCGAGATAGACGGGGGGTGGTTTTTGCCCAATTTTTGTCCATTGTACGACTATATGATTTTGCACAAACGTTGCTGCCTAATCGGACCGGTTTTTGTACATGTAGATGTGATGGAGAATCTTTTGTACGAATCATACAAACAGGCCAATTACCAATGCAGAGCAGCTTAGTTTTGGATGATTGTTTTGGCTGTGCAACTTGACACTAGAACTAGAACCTTGTTGTTTATCCACTTGGTAGTCTACTTGGTGGGTCCCGCTTCTGAATAATACGATAAATTGTACTTGCTCGTGAGATCCTGCACCAACGTTGGACAGGGCGGCATGCTGGGGGGCCCTGCGCCTCGTAGTCCGAAGGACTCGGACTCGGATCCGAGTGAGTGTTGATTAATCCCATAATATGCCGGGCGACCACCTTGTTGGTAAAACCGCGCCGCATGCGCCTTGCAAGTACTATCACGTTCCCATGTTGCGGCTTTGAACCTAGTCGTTGTTTTCAAGAGTCAGAATGTGCGAGTAAGTCTTTTGAATCCCGTGTGTTCGGTCAAGGGTGCCGAGAACACCTTAGTACGGTTCGAACGGCAATGAATGCTAGGTATGTACAACAATCATGTTCTGCTGTAGAAGTTGGGAAAGGCAGAATTTCTTTGTCTAGCAGATTACAATTGTAGTTCGCTTTCTATTATGGGTCGTTTAGAGGCCATAAAGATTTCGACTTCATCCAAGTCTAGGCACCAAGTACCGTCCTGCTGTCAGTACGGCGTTAGTCTTGATGGATAGCTAGAGTAAGGCATCCATTATTGACCCAAGATACAAGTCTTCGGCTAATCCATATGACGAAGCATCAAAGGCCATCAAAGTTATGTGCCACTCACAATAAAACCGTGTTGTATTAATCCATGGCCCCAATGGATTGGCCTGCCTCATGAGGCCGGGCTCCGGGCTGAGGTTGAGGTCCAGCAGACGCGACATCTGAGTCGCGAGACTCGATCTGATGGCACAGTTCCCCTCCACGTGGTTCTGCCGTGACATGGCGTACGGAATGCTTTCCCCGTCAAGAAGGTATTCTATTCATAACCGTCTAGAACCGGCGATGCGGGTGGGAGCACGGCTAGAGGGAACCCTATCTGTGCCGTGTCTATTTTGAACACTCTGCGGAGAAGACCTTATTAGGATGTCCTGATTGAGCATCAATGAGGTCTTGGAAAGCCTCAACAGTGATCGGAAGAATTATTTCGCCAAGATAAGGCTGGTCGAGTAGGTAGGTCATGGGTGCAGGAGACGGCTGAGGCCCCTTGGTCTTGCCACGACCGGGTAGGCCATGGCTGCGCAGGGCAGGTGCAGGTATAATTAGTCCTCTTAAGACAGCCGGTCTTGGCGAGTGCGGATGCGAGGCAGAATAATGCAGTATGACAATGATGTGGCAGTATGAGATGAGAAATGCATATAGACGCTGACAAGTCTGTGTGCTTGGCAGGTGCGGCCGCTGGGGGCCTGAGGTTGCGCGTTATCATGCCATCCGAGTATAGGAAGAGGGCATTCCTGCAGATGATCTTGTAGCACCTCTTTTCGAACTTTGAATAGCAATGAATGCAGTTGTATGTCCATGGGAAATGTACGACTAGATGAGTGATGCTATACGCAACCAATCAGCGTCATTGTCATTTGCTTACGTCTGCAGTCACAGGCTCCTGCATCTTGCATCTGTCGCGTATCGTACTCAGGTAGTCCTTGGCTATCTTTATCATACGAATAACACAAGCACGTCGTGATGATAATAGAAAGGGTAGGTGCTGCGCGTGATGTAGTAGTGGCGTAAATGGGGGAGTGAAGAGAGATCAGGCGGGATAGATAGCGATGACGTAGGCTCGTCTAGCGCACTTTGGGCAGCCACAGGGTCGGAACAAGTCGTAGAGGGAGCATATGACAGCCGGATTGTTGCCTCCTGCACAACGATACTTCCTCCCTAACTCATTTGCGACCTAGATCTCGGTCCTTTACTTTTGACTCATACTCATGTCTTTCAAACCTCATCTGTATACTTCCACAGCCGAGTATAGAGACTCTTTGCCACTGCAATAACTGCATCCCTACCTTGGTTTCCCCGCAATCAGTCTTTGGTACGAACTACCGACAAACGCCTGTAACTTTTATAGGCGCACACAGCAAAATCTACATAGAATCCTCGACCCGTCTGCCAGACAGACCGAAGCTCTTTTATCATGCGCGACCTCCGCAAGCAGGCTCTCGAGAGCCATAAGACATTGTCGCGCAAGGCCCGCTCGCGCGTGGCGTCCACCACAGCCTCCAAGACAAACTCCGCTGTTGCATCGCCTGCACAGTCGCGAGCCGCCAGTCGTACTCGGCAGGAATTTAGCGACGAGGAAGATTTCAGCGACGGAACTGCCTATAGGTAAGTTTTTCAACAACGCACACAAGTTTTTGGTTTCCTATTAGCCAGTCGCGACTCATGACATCACCGTCCACCAACCGGCAGATGTCAAGCATGTGGCTGTCTGGGTGAACAAATCTAGTTCCCTACATCCGTCATATCGTAACCAAGTTTCGATATCATTGGGTTTTACTGGTCAACTATGGTATCGCAAGCAAAAAAATGGCATACCTTTGTATATTTTCGTGCAATGCGCCCATTCTTTCCCCATACTCTCTCCACTTCCAAGGTTCAAGATAGTCTGCTGTTCAGCAAACACAATGATGCTGCGTAAACCTGTTCCGGTTCAATGCGCCGCGCCTAAGAAGTGCTCCAAGCAACAAAAGCTGACAAAAGTAAATAACAGCACGGCCTCCATCGACGATGTCCTCAACAGCGAAGATGTCGACATTCCTGAAGACGTCTGGAAGACGGAGCTCAACACGCGCATCGAGCAAATCACCAACCTTAAGCGTAGCAGTACCGACGGTCGTACTGAAAGCCTGACTGCATATGCACACATACTCATGGCGCGGTATGCAAAGGACGAAATCGAGCGCGAAGTTGTGCAGCTGGTCTCGTCTATGGTTAGGAGCATCAGGCAAGAGACAACTGAGAACGAGGCCGTAGCTGCTTTAAAAGCGCTCGCTGTCACTATCCTCACCGACGATTCCGAATCTATCTACGAGGATGTCTCAGACTTACTTAAAAAGTCGATTCAAACTTCCTCGTCCATCGCTGTCAAGGTCAATGCAATTCACACACTGGGTGTCGCTGCCTTCTTCGGCGGAGCTGGCGATGACGAGGTATTGGACATCATGTCCCTCTTTATTGAGATCATCGAGTCAGATGGCGCTTCTGTTGATGCACAGGATGAGGGTAACGTGGTGACTGCTGCTTTGGAAGAGTGGGGTCTTCTGGCAACTGAGATTGAAGATCTGGAAGAAGAGACCGAGGCTGCCATGGAAGCTTTCGTCGAGCAACTCGAAAGTGCAGACTCTGGTGTGCAAATTGCAGCCGGAGAAAATATCGCGCTCCTGTACGAAAAGTCTCTCACCCCGCAAGAAGAGGATGAAGATGTAGAAGTGGAAGTGGATTCGGATGATCCAGAGCATGTTCGAGACGGGCCAAAGTTGGTTAAGCGCTACACGGTCTACAGAAGACATGACAAACTCATGCATACCCTCAATGAACTCGCCAAGATTTCCACGCGCCGGGTATCCAAGAGGGATCGCAGAGCACTGCACTCTTCATTCGCGGACATCCGCAACACAGTTGAGAAGCCATCACGTGGCCCCGCATACTCGACGGCACTTGACGAGGAGACTGGAAAGGCATATGGAGCTGGCAGGATGAAAGTAAAGATCAACAGGAGTGTTGAGGTCAGGATTGACAAGTGGTGGAAACTGCAGAGGCTGAATGCATTGAGAAGGACTCTTCAGGGTGGCTTCACATACCACTACGACCAGAACCACATGGTTTCAGCTGCCCTACCTTTCTCCATGTCTGCCAAGCGTTAGGCTCTTGATATTGAGAGCATGACCATTGGGAACTGGTGTTATCGGAAAAGTTGCTATTACTAGATGCGTGTATACCTGGATGAATGGCGTTTTGAGCTTGATTTCGTACTGGCATTCTTTATCGATCATCGGTAAAAGACAGCATGTAAGGAACTACAAACATAGTACACTTTTACTGTATTGATGCATCCTTTAATTGTCGAGTGACGTCATACTCTGACAAGGAGATTGAGCCCCAGTGCAAGCATAGGAAGTTGCAAGTAAGCTAAGTAGAGAATAGTCTACAGCTATGACGCGACCCGTCGTTTTATATCAAAGACTTGCGGCATGTTCGGCTCCTAAGTTGGTGGCGCGGAAAGTTGCCATGCTGCTTGCCCCGCGTTGCCCCTCACCAAGCCAATGTTTACAAGGCCATCCAAGCTTCAAACAAGCACACATGCCACCATCTGACAACTTCAGATCTTCAGACCCATATCACCAGATGTGCTAGCTTCAGAAATTAGCGATGCAAACACGTTAAGCGCGATTGACCCCTTGCAAACCTCGTACCGGTGTGCAAACGCGGGCTTGGCGCGGTGTAGGCTGTAGCTTCGTAGAAAGTTCTGGACATCTTACCGTTGTGCTTTTCTTCAGCCTCACAACACCAACTCCCGTACACAATAATTTCAATTTGCTGTCACACTGTGCACTTTTACTGTCCGAAGCTGAGCCTCTTGACTTACTTGCTTATTTCCCACTACACCTTGAGTACATCGCGACTGTCATTGAGTGATCATGGCCGAAACTAGTAAGTAGTACTGATCTTGAAGCTCAACTACGGGCTATAGAAACAGTGTTACATATTATACTAACATCACACAGAGCGTCCCCGTGTCTTCTTCGACATTGCGATCGGCGGCGTAAAAGCCGGCCGAGTCGCTTTCGAACTCGTATGTCGCACTCCCTTCCCATGCGCTCCCCAGCCTCCCACCCCCCGCACCTAAACACAGTGCTAACTTCTCTATCCAGTACAGCGATATTGTCCCCAAGACGGCCGAGAACTTCCGCGCACTATGTACCGGCGAGAAGGGCGAAGGCGCCTCGGGCAAGCCCCTACACTACAAGAACTCCAGCTTCCACCGCGTTATCAAGGGCTTCATGATTCAAGGCGGGGATTTTACTCAGGGCAACGGGACCGGGGGAGAGAGTATATACGGAGAGAAGTTTGAGGACGAGAACTTTGAGAAGGTGCATGATAAGCCGTTTTTGCTGAGTATGGCGAATGCGGGTCCAGGTAAGTTTGACAGGGAGAGCTATTTGAAGTCGGTCTGTTGGCAGGTTGGAGGGTTCCAGTGGGTTTGGGAAGAGAAACGCAGAGTAAGAAGCTGTGACACTCATGTCATGCTTCATCCTCTGTGACATCCCCTTCCCAGATTTACCGTACCACCATTTTTGCCTCGCAGAAAGATCAAGAACACACTCATTGGTATATGAGCTAACAAAATCTAGGAACAAACGGATCACAATTCTTCGTCACCACAGTTCCCACACCTCATCTCGACAAAAAGCACGTCGTCTTCGGAGAAGTCATCAACGGCAAGAGCATCGTCCGCCGAATTGAGAACCTCAAGACCCAAAGCGGTGACAAGCCTTTCCATGACGCCACCATCATCGACTGCGGCGAGCTCACAGGCGAGGACTACGACAAAGCCACAGAAAAGGTCGCCGACCCAACCGGCGACCCCTTTGAAGACTTCCCCGAAGACCAAAAGGCCGACGACGCAGAGTGGAAAGGCACCGAGATTCTCGAAATCGCCACCAAACTCAAGGACATGGGTAACGACGCATTCAAGAAGGGTGAGCTGCAACTCGGCATTGATAAGTACCAAAAGGCTATTCGCTATCTGCACGAGTATCCCGCGCCCCTGGACGATGACCCCAAGGATCTCTGGCCAAAACTCTGCGCCCTCAAGATCTCGCTCTACTCCAACAGTGCGCTGCTCCAGAACAAGAAGGGTATGTATGCCGAGGCTGCGGATAATGCTACAAAGGCGCTGGATATCGAGGGTATCACGGACAAGGACAAGGCGAAGGCATACTTTAGGCGCGCGACGGCCAAAGTGGGCAAGAGGAATGACGAAGAGGCGCTCGCAGACTTGAACCAGGCGGCAAAGTATGCGCCGGGTGATGCGGCCATTGTCAAGGAGTTGGATGTTGTGAAGAAGAGGGTTCAGGCACGGAAGGAGAAGGAGAAGAAGGCGTACAAGAACGCGTTCAACTTTGACTGAGTGAAGTGTGTGTACAGTCGGACTTTGCAGATGAAAGAAGCTGGCATGGTGATTAGAGCAACCAATACTACGGTTAATGAACGAAAACCCTGTCAAGGGCATGGTGGAGGCGTTCAATCTCGGATAAGGGTCGAGCTGCAGCTTTAGTCCACCAAGAGCAGTGTTAATCGAAGAAACCATAATATATTTATCCTGATATCGCTCTCTCTCTCACACACACACAATAAACCCGCCAAAACACCTCGCTATATACAACAATACCAAACCCATCCCCCAAATCGCTTCTCGAAAAACCAAAAAGACCCATTCTGTTGGTTGGCTTTGCACTAAGTGCGGAAAGGGAAATAACGATAACTAGGAATGCATTCTGTTCGGTGGTTCTTCTTATTACGAACATAGCTGCTACGAAGGTATACCTAAGCTCTGCGCAAGGTGGGCCGAAGTCGGGCCGAAGTGTCAAGCAGCCGACGTCTCTACCGATACTCACGATCCGACACATTCATGCATTTCCGAGGAAACGATTGTAAGAGCCGCCCACCCGCCTATCCACCAACAGAAAAGAAAGAAGCAGGTTCCAGCCCTCGTATGTAGCGAAGTAAAAATACAGCCACCCATCTACATGCAACAAGGAAAACACCCAATAAAAAGCCAAGTCAACATTTATTTGTAGAATCATGGTTTAAAAAGCTAAGGAAAGATAGAAGCAAAAGGGTATGTAACAAGTATGTATACTATTTGATGCAAGCAAGCAAGCAGGCAAGACAGGGATTCTGTGCAATGCCATGCTTCCAAGTCGTTCAGTTTCCAGGCCAAGATGCCGCTTCCTTGGCTGTTTCGTATCCAACCTTTCATCCAACTCAGCCAGTAGTCCCCATCCCTCCTCTCATCCCCACCTTGTGGTATCCTAAAAACCAATTCCGCCGATTTCACTCTAGTAAGTGACAATCCCCGCCTATCCCATCTCTCGTGTGTCCGTCATCCGTCATCCCTGATCAGACACACGCATGTGTGTTATGTTGCTCTGAAGAAAGAGCAAGCTTCTTGTGGTTTGAAGAAAATGTGTTTGTGCAAGGCCGCTGGAAAACCCCTTCACTCAGGGCTTCCTTTATCCAATAGCTCGCCTGCACTCTTGCGTCTCTTAATCTCTCTTCTTGCCAGTGTTCGTGGACTTTCGCCGGTGAACCAGCCATGTAGTCAGAACTCTTCGTCTCTTTCTCGCTCATCTGTGCGAGCGACGCCTTTACCGCGGAGACTCATCATGCCAACTCCCATATCGGTACGTGATTCGAGGGCGGAGCCACCGCGTTCGCCGTTGCCGTCATCACGGTCCTTGTCTTTGCCCTTGTCTTTACGGTTTTCCTTGTCGCGTTCTTTCTCTCGTTCCTTTTCCTTGCGGCTTTCCTTCTCCTTTTCTTTATCCTTGTCCTTGTCTTTGCGTTTGGACTTGCGCTGGAAGGGGAGGACGCCTCGGAAGCCGCGTTCCTTCTTCTCTTTGATTGCCTTTTCGGAGAAGGCGGGTAGCGCGGTTGTATACTCCTCTTCTACAATACTGCCGGAATCGCTGCCCTCCATGCTTTGGCCGCCCGCTGAACGCGGTGGTCGTCCGACCAGAGAGTTTGTAGATACAGCGGAAATTCCTTGGGTGTTGATGTGAGAGTTTGGATTACTGTAATTGAATGACTGTGTCGACGTAGACGTGGATATTGTCGTCGTTAATGTACTGGAAAGGGCTTGTGGATAAGAAGGAGCGGGGGCCATGTGGATGCCATCGCTGGAGCCAGGAGGTGTATCTTCGCCTGCTGAAGCTGACGCGCTTGCCGATGCTGAAGCAGACTGTGAAGTGATCGCGTACTCGTTCGAAGATGGCCCATAGTGACCTGACCACTGCTTCTTAGCGAATGGATTAGTATAAGAGATATTCCCTGAATTGTTACTCTTCAATGAGCTTTGAGATACTGAGATGCTCGAGTTTTGCTGATGTCTTGCTCGCGGAGGTGGCTGCATTGTAATGGGTGTGCTCGTCGAAGATGACGAGTATTCTTCGCCATTGTTGGTTGGAGACAGCGGTGTATCCTCCATGTCTTCTTCTTGAATTGGGCATCGGTTGTTCCTTGTCGCTGCGCCTCGCGAAGTGTCAATCTGTGCTCCTTGTAATTGCTCGACCAGCTCCTCCCACTTGACGCTCAGCGACGAAGATGGACGTTCAGCCGGCTCCGCCCGATTCAAGCAGTCCTTGGTGCGCTCATTGAGAGACAGACAAATGTTGTGGAAGCGTAAAAGATCGCCGTCAGTTGCTTGGATATCTGGTGCACTTTTCTGGGTGTTGTCTAACCAGAGATTGACCAGCATGGCGAAGTTGCGTGAATGATCGATCAGGTATGGTAACGATGGAAAACCTTCTTTGAACGTTGGTGGCAGCCGGTGGAGAATGGCGATCGGAGTGCTATAGGAAGGTGGTATCGGCGGCGCGGGTTGCGACGTGGTTGATATTGAGCAGATGTCATCGAGGTATTTCTTGAACTCTTGCCGATGTGTAATGAGGAACGCGTTCATCGGCTCCATCCACGCTTCCTTGGTACCAAACGAAGACATGTTTGCCAGACCTTGTAGAGACTTGGCGATAAGAGTGAAAGTTCTCCGAGCTTTTACTTTGGGGTGATCTACACTAGTTAGCGACTGCTATTTGGATACATTCAAGGCGCACGTACCATTCAGTAAACCAAAGAGCTTTGGGTTGAGCACCGCTGGGACAAAAAAGCGCAAGAATAGGAAACCAGAAACACTACTGTACTGTACTGTCCGGAGGTAGTCTCCATAACGGTCGTCGGCACAGGCTCTGATATGTCTGAAAATCAGCCTCAGCTCCTGCGGGCAGCGGGTCACCGAGTTGTAGATGGCCCGCCAAACTTCTTCCGTGCAGTTAATCAGCCTCCGCCAGTTTCGATCCAGCTCGTGTTGAGAGGTAACCTTGTTCGGATCCACTTCGCAATCAGGGTCCTTGAGGTTAATTTCCTTTAGTTTCTCGCTTAGTGTCTCCTCTAGATATTCCTTTCCGAGTCGCTTCATGTGTAGATCCAATGATTTTGTAAGTAGGGTGTTGCCGCGGAAGAGTAGATTTGCCTCCAGCTTGGCATTGTTGTTCATGTCTCGAACGAAGAGCTCGCGGTCGCTTGCGGATCCAAAAGTGCCCATATTCGACTCGTTTGACTCGCTCGATCCTAGCCTCTTGCTGAAACGTAATCGACTTGCAGGGGATTCCTTCAATGTACCGTCGATTTCCTCTTCAACAAGGGCGCATATCCATTCACCTGCGGCTCCAGAAACCTGAAAAATGTTCAATAGATATTCCGACAACTTCCTCAGCTCATTCGGGATCATGTGGGCAATCTGTAGCGTGAGGCCGTTGGAGAACCTGTGGAGCAGCTCCGAGAGCGGGTAGTAATCGCGGGCCATGAGAATCGCACACTCCTCACTGCTGACCTTGACCAGAACCTCGCCTACGCTGTTGCCGTACATGTTGATGAGTGGCCACCACTTCTCCATCTCTTGATTCGCACCGAGATCGTCCAGGTATATGTCAGTTTTGCCTAGTGTTTGGTCAAATGAGATGCCCGCATAGCCACCTTCAGAGACGTGGGAGTCTGAGCTCAAAGCCGAGTCGAAGACGGTCTTCTCGGTGCGGGTGTAGCTCGGTGGCCGTTTCTTCAGCAGCAGAGATGCTGTGTGTAGCGCAGGGAGATCGAGGAACTCAAACTCTTCTCTCCAAAATGGATTGTTGCCCTCACTCTTGACCATGGTCCGCGCCCGTGTCTCTCCGTCCAGTAATAATTCTACTAGATAGCCACCTGGGCTCGTCGTAGCAGATGAGGATGGCCGTATTGGAGTGGTCCCGTTGCTGTCGGCAACTTTGGGACTTACTGGCGGCACTAGTTTTGCCTCAATAACCCTGACAAACAAAGACTTTTCCATTCGAAACATGTCCTGCGTTCCAAATGATGGGGATAGGGGACCGTCGTCGCTCATGGTATCCGATTTCGGTCCGTATAGCTGCGGGACGGTAAAAGCACGTAGTAGGACTATCCAAACTTCGTACAGGACGCGCGATTCGAGTGATAGGAAAATGGGCCGCAAGATGGTCAGCGCAGAATTAGTTGCAGCAGTATACTGGGGATATATGGCGATGCAAAATTCGTTATCCAAAACGGAAGGATCCAATCGTTGCACGGCACAACGCGAAAGCTGGGAAAGTTGGATGGTAGATACAAGGGTGACATCGGTGTCAGAATAGAGTTTGAGCTCGCCGTTTTCGCGGAGGGTGCAGGACACTCTGCGCCATCGACGGGATCCGTGGCTTTGCAGTCTATACGCCTGCGGTCGGCTATTGTTGCCAGAACTTTTAGGGGTGCCAGTGTTGCTGTATGTGACACTTGTGTCCCAGTATATCATCTTGCCGACCTTGATGATGGGCGCTTCTTTCTTGGGGGATTCTTTGAGCAGCGACACCTCCGAGTGACGTCTGCTGTCAGCCAATCGGCGCTCAATCATGACGGGAGCCTGTGGTTTCGCCATGCGGTTCTGGATGCCCTTGGGACGCATGGGCGACCAGCACAGTAGCGCGGCAAACCATGAGTCAAACTCCTCCTGAGTGGGCGGGCGTAGATGGACCTCGAGCTTGGAGTTGTGCATGATGACCTGGATGTAGGCAGTATATGCTTCGCCATCGTATGCGCTTTTGACGTGGCAGCCTCGGAGGTCCGGTACTAGGGTCCGGGTATATGAAGTGTCATTCTTGGGCTCATAAACCAGACTACCCGCCTCCTCGTTGATATAGCAGTACGACAGCCCCCAGGGATTCGACTCGCCCCTCCGGAAGGCAAGCAGGCCCTGCATCTTGCCGCATGTGGAGCGCATGAGGGCCTTGAGCTTCTTTGCATCCGACGCAGGCACTGGAGACACCCATGACTCTGGCGGCACACCCGATGGAGAGGACAGGGGCGATGCGGTAAGAGATGGATGTTGCTGGCCATACTGCTGTTGGTACTGCTGCTGATGCTGCGACTGGGCCTGGGACTGGGACGATGCCGATGACGACGACTGCGACTGGCTCGACTGACCATGGGAATGGCTCTGCGTCTGCAATGGCGAGGGCTGCGACTGCGACTGCGACTGCGACTGCTTGATCAGGCGGCCGGTCCGGCTGGTGTTGTTGTTCGAGGGCCGTGGCGGGGGCGGCTGTGGCGGCGGGGAGATGGTGGAGATGTGGCCGATGGAAGTCACGACCGACTCCTCGAGACTCTGGTAGTTGTTCTGGGAGCTGGCAATGGAGCCAATGCGGTGACGGCCCGTGCCAAAGACGCTCGACGGCGACCTCTCCCGCGTACTCCTCTCCTCAAGCGTGCGCGTGCGCGGGCGGGCAGGCTCACGGGCATTCCTGTACTCGGAGTCACTCGAGGCGCGGGCAACGAAGCCGCGGGGCGTGGCTGCACTTCTTGCTCCAGCTAGGTGCTGGTTGTACTGGGTCGTGTTGTGGGCGCGGGGGCTGTTGGGTGGGGAGAAGTTGGTGCTGGGCATGCCGTCCTCGGGGATGGTCATGGTCATGGTCGTCTGCGGCGGGCTCTGCATGCTCTCCTCGGGCGTGACGGTGCGGATCGTCTGGGCCTTGCGGTCATCGCGCATCCTCTCGTTGCCAAAGGCAGCCTGTGCCGCCTCGGAGGCGCTCACCTCCCTCACTGTGTCCGTCGCTGCTGGTCCATGGATGCGGACCGCTG